GCTAAGTGCGTGCTTGCTTATCCTGCGCAATATCTACATTACATTTACGCTTCCTCTTCCTGGAACTAATGTTGCTTAAATGCGACATTCTTCATTGTCCGCATGAATAATTAACGAGTGACTGAATGTAAAGCTGTCGTGTAACAATACCTCTCTTGAGAGGATTGCACTGCGAAGAAGGCGGGAATTCGACTCCAGAATCTCCCGGTATTTGTTTTGGTCTCGTTCCATTACGCTTTTTGGTAGTTCTATTGGGTCACCTGAAGTGCATGCACACCGACGTCAAAAAGGAATTGGGCAGCGATTAAATTTCCCGTTGATTCCGCGATTTGCTCGTAGTTGGCATTCCCACTACATCTCGCCCAACGAGGAAGGATGCGCAGATAGAGCAATATAGAAAAATTCACGACATATACAGTAAATGTGAGTGTATGAATGAAAATATTGACCAACCTGTTGCTGTTCTGTATTTTTTCAAGAGCTTGGACTCCCTGCTCCTGGCGATATTTTCAAGCATTTGCTTCGTCGGCCTCACCGCCTTCGCCCAGCTGAAAGATAGCGAGACTGCGTTTCCAGTGGTGTGTATTGACCGTATTGCCATCCTTAAAGGCCTAAGCGAGAAGATAAGAACAAATACCGACCGCATATTTGATGGTATAACAATTCGCATCGGAGCTTTCGCAAGACTGTGTGTTGGAAGCANAATACCGACCGCATATTTGATGGTATAACAATTCGCATCGGAGCTTTCGCAAGACTGTGTGTTGGAAGCATACGTGCAGGGCACAGGCGTGACACGTTCTGCACGCACTTTAGATGCCGCAGGCTGTAAATGCCCGGCTCAAGCTTGAACTCTCCCTTCAAGCGCTCTAATTCGCACGATATAGCCTTTTCTTTGGGTGTTTCCTGGGTCTTGGGTTGGTCTGGTGGCTTCTTAAAGAAGAAGGACTGAACAACCACACGCTCTTCTGCAACGGGGACAGAGGCCGCAGGCTTTTTCGAATATAGAACCTCCACGGTGGAATACCCATGAACGATCCGGGATTCAAAGAGAACCTAGAGTATGATACACAAGCACAAGCGAAAACCGCCGGAAGGCTGCAACTCGTCTATTCCTGTCAGTAAATGGAATCTACCGGAAGGTATGCAGAGATGAGCGTGCGTATGGCTAGATTTTTAACTCACCAGCACTTCTGTGCCTGTGACTCCTATGTCTATCACGGCGTCACCCTTCCACAGAGAGTGAGACACGCAAGTCGGCGTGCAGATCGCCTTCAACTTCACTTTGTCTACCCTACCAGGAGGTAAAGCTGGCTTGCTTGGTTGTGGTTGTTGTACTTTGAAGCCCGCAAACTTCAGGAATGGGTTTGCAGCAGCTCGCTGTTCAGCCGCGGCAGATGCCTTTTTACCCTCTGAACCCTCTGGGAGCCCAGAGGCCTTTTGCGAGGCCTCTACAACACGAAGTGCTCCCCACGTGTACAGAAAACACGACGGTTGTTGAAGAGACACAACAACGAATCTTGTCCCCACTGCAACCTTCGAAACTACATGACGGTGAGCCGGCGTCGTTGGAATGGGGACAAATGTTGGGACATCTCTGGACTTCTTGTCTTCGACTCCTTGACCAAGTTGACCGCTATCATTGCACCCCCATGCAAAAACACCACTGCTGCCAGCTGTCCGCATCACGTTGAATCCAGATGAACAACAAATCTGAGAAAATAAGTCGCCACACGGCCAGCGAATAATTGCAAAACGTGTCAACACAAAGGCAAAACTGGCGAAGACTCAGAACTTTAATTTTTAAAAGGTGTAAAGTGCTTACTTGTAGTGCCTCTTCAGANAAAACTGGCGAAGACTCAGAACTTTAATTTTTAAAAGGTGTAAAGTGCTTACTTGTAGTGCCTCTTCAGAGGAGTCAACGGGTACCTCTCGCGGAGTGTAAGAGTGCGAGTCCGGGATGACGGTAGGTAGACGGACAAAGTGGGCAGCACCCCACATCAAAGCCTTTCCGTCAGAGCACACCGCTCCTGTATGTCGGGGTCCCGCAGCGATGCTAAGAGACGCAAGCGAGCAGCATCGCAGAAGAGAGCGGTCTCCATAAAATACAGTTTGCGAACGTGACAGGATCAGTGTGCAAAGCAGCTAAATCATCTGAAGCCTTTTATTGCGTTCACAATGTGTGAAGGAGTAGATTCACCTTTTCAGTCTGATGCCATTGTTACGGATAGTGGGAATCAGGGTTGGGCACCGAGCCCACATCAGCCTGTGACCCAAGCCGCATTGCCCTTCGGAGTTGTCTCCCCACGCAAAAGCCATGCCTTCGCTAGTGAGGGCGACCGAGTGGTCTAGACCAGCTGCCACTGCACATATTTTGTGCGTATAGTCGACCTCCTGGACNTGAGGGCGACCGAGTGGTCTAGACCAGCTGCCACTGCACATATTTTGTGCGTATAGTCGACCTCCTGGACGAGTTGCTGCACCAGATGGCCTGAAAACGTCGCAACACGAACCGCCCTCTCACAGTGTGAGTTCTGCATACACACTTCAACGTTCCTTTCTACCAAGTGCATGCTCATCCTTCCGAATGACAAACTGTCGGAAAACCTACCGGTTTTCGAGTCCACTGTATCTTTGAAAACCCGGTCTACAAACTTCAGGGGGCCGACGCAGGTCATTCCCTGCTCCCTTGGGGTCTGCGGTTCCCCAAGTTGTCCTCTGTCCCCCCAACCCCATGCATATACACTGGGGACAAGGTTAAAGTCCTGCCAACTTCCTCCCTTGACAACTGCCCGGACGCGGGTGGCGAAGTTCTCGGAAGCCGGCTGTCTCACCGCTAGAAGCGCCAGACTGTGGTGGCCGCCAATTGCCAAGTCTTGAAGCTGAGCAACGAGACACAAAACCACAGATTTGTTACCGAGAGTGAGCCACTGAATCGCAGCTCAAGCATAACCCGTTGGGTATGACACCCAGAAGAGCCACGTGCGCTGTTGTCCTGCCCCACTGAGTTGCAGGGATGGCAAACATTGCAGGCTTTGCATATTGAATCATGATACGTACCATAATCGGCACCATATGTGCAGCCTCAGCCATGTATCCATTGTGTTGCCTGGTCAGAGATATCTCTATTTGCACTAAAAGATCCTGAAGCGGCTGTGCCCACGTGCGAGGATATATAGCACGGCAATCGCAGTTTGCATTCAAGCTGATGGGGTAGGCATAGTGGGTCTCCTGACGCATTCGTTCAACTCTGAACACCCCTTGGACCCTCAGAAGGTGAGGTCTCAGCAGTTCAAATGAAACACGCTCACGTCGTTTGATCACAGAGTCCGCTTTCTGCATCACACACACCGGGAAATGCGTGAGGCACTGATAATTTAAAAGCCAATCAAGTGAAAGGCTGAGCAGTAACTCGTAGGCCGGCAGGTGTTGCCGTCATACTGACACTCATTCTTCATCAGCAAGGGTAAATAAATGTATGAATGGCTAGAGTTGCTGCTCCCCCGGTCCACTCGGATGGCAGCTCCGCCTCACCTTTGGCAGTTTGATAGGAAGAGGCAACGCCAGTTCCAGATCCAATCCCCGTAGTAAAAGCATCGAACGCCACCAGCGCTGTATTTTTACGACCATGCGCCTGGCTAGAAGAAAGTCTCCCTGATAGCAGCATTACGCACTCACCTCAACACAACTTATGAAGTTCTACAGGGGACAACATTTTACATGCAGATCTCTAGCTTGTTGCCTCAAGACTTAGACGGTGCGTATCGAATTAGCCTTATGTTCTTGGGTGGGCCTCAATGCCGGAAGGGCAGGGGATGTCTCACCCGACGAAGCCTCATCAAAGCTCCAGCTTGACACAGCATTGCTGCATTCCTTAGGCGTACATATTGCTGCTTGATAATGACCATCCTGAAGAAGCTTTGGATACGAACGACAGAGGTGTTCATTTGCACCCTGAGGAGAAGAGGATTGTGACAACACATGACCTGGCAAAATTTCGAACCCCAGCCAAGCGGTGATCACGCGCCTGGAACACTGGCTCGTCTCTGCGCATGCATGCTAAATATTTGGTAAACTGCAAGACAGGAAATACATGGGACTAATGTGTTATCTCTTTCTCAGGAGTAATTGACAGCGCCCTACGAAATCATTTCCCGCATCACTGTTGTCCGCCGGATAATTGGCCGGTAGTTTAGCATGACACGNCGCCCTACGAAATCATTTCCCGCATCACTGTTGTCCGCCGGATAATTGGCCGGTAGTTTAGCATGACACGCATGCTGTACAGCTTTGCTCCCTTCCGTTGAATAGACAGAAATGCCATAGTAAGTCCTCTTAACTCTTGGAACTTGCGGCGTTCCCTCCACCTGCATACACAGGTGAAGCCACCTACTTTGGCTCGTGTATCTAGGCTCCTGCTACCTACAGTTCAATTGATGCACCTCTGCTGTAAACGTCTCCAGCGTACCCTCTGACATGCCGTTGTATAGTTGTAGCTGCTCTGTTTGGGATTATATCCCCGGTGATTTTCTCCAGGATGACAGCCTGGGCTCTGAACGATCTCCATGCGTTCTGCAATCACTCAGAATGCCGCAACACTCTTGGCGTTGAACGCACCCCTAAGCCTACCATACTGACACATTTCTGCACTTGGAAAGCCATGCCTGAATGGCACTACGAATGTTGGCTGCACTGCCAATTCATTACCTGCACAAGAAGGGAACAGTACTCTAAGAAAGCAGCGTGGCGAAGCTTTTCCGCCTGTTTCTGAGCCATGATTGAACGCCACCAAGATTGAACGCACACAGCCGCACTCCATCGAAGNTTTCCGCCTGTTTCTGAGCCATGATTGAACGCCACCAAGATTGAACGCACACAGCCGCACTCCATCGAAGGCAGTATACCTCCCTGTTCCTATACCTGCATTCCAGAATCAGCAAACCTAAGCCAAGTACAACGCGTTATGCTTCAGTTACCGCTTGTTAGCTGCATCTACGAGTAGCTTGTTGGGAAGGCGGTACTGCTGTTGAGTCCACTTCAGAGCTCACTTCATCTCGATGGACTGGATGACCTCGTCACTAAGGCCCAACCGCCGAAAGGCATACGCGATACCCGCGGTAATGACGGCCCCAAAGAAAAGATCCCTGAGAGGCTGGATCCTTTTCCGTTCCCGTATCAAAAGGACTCGACGGACGTGACTCTGCACTCGGACGCACAGCGAGCGCATATCCGCCACGAAGGCGCGTTCCCGCACAGTTCGCCATATGCGTTGCACGCGGGTAACAGCGGGCACCAGACGCTCAAGGTAGTCGATTCTCCTGCATAGAGAAACCCCAACAGAGCAAGAACTCTGCACTGAACGATCGCATAATGGACTAAAGAAGCTCACTAAGAGACAGGTGACGCAGTGTGCTTTGCATGGTTCATGATGTTGTAATATTTGACAGTCCCCCGATCCTTCGCTGACATAGCAGGCGTTCGTGCACTGCCTGGACAACTGTACACTAAGGCGTCATTTGGATTCATTTGACGACTGGGTTGNCAGGCGTTCGTGCACTGCCTGGACAACTGTACACTAAGGCGTCATTTGGATTCATTTGACGACTGGGTTGCACCCCACAAGGCATGCTGTCAGCTCCATACTTACGTCTTTTCCAGAATTATGAACGCAGCTTTGCGGAAGAATACCATAGTCCTTCCCAGCTGATACCCCGTGTCAGGAAATCTAAGGGCCTATTCACAGAAGCAGCAAAGCTTGGATACTAGCGGTTCAAAAAGCGCGTGTCTCTTGCGCTTCACCTTTCATCAATATACTCTATGGCCCGGGTTGTCAACGAACCTGCAGCAAAAATGCACTGGCTGCCTTGGGATCTGGATGTTGTAACAACAGCTTTGCCGTTTGCTGCTCGTACGAAGTTGGGATGCAGAGAATCGCGTAGAGCTCAAGGAATTCTCTGTAGAGGAGCCGCACTGTCATACCAAGGTAGCGGGTTGTGCAGTAGGTCTGCGGGAAGGCCAGAAACGCACGACATGACCAAACTGCATTTCCACGCAAATAGTTGGTGACCGCAAGCCAGATTGCCTCCGGGCTGCCCCCTCTACTTCGCCATTATCGAGCGACTGATCCGACACTTACCAACACCTGCAAATCGTGTAGTTGCTTCCATACGTCAACAGAGTTGAATCCTAGCAAATAGCCATTGCGGTTGCGCCCGAGCTTAGCTTCACTGGCCAGGAGAGCTCTGAGGCGAGGAGGCACTTGAGGTTCATGGCACAAAGCGCCAGCCATCCCAGAGTAAGCGTCCTCCTGGTATGGCGCCCCTCCCAATTGCCCGCTGTCGCTCTTCTGCCTCCAGCGCTTGACGTAGGAGCTGAACTTCGACGATGACGCTGCCTCCTCGTCCGCGCCTGCAGCTGAGAGTGGCCGAAGCGCACTAACGCACGCAATAAAATTGGTTTGTGGAGCCTCCTGAACACACAAGACGCAAATTCATGTCGTGGAGATACTGTTGAAGTGGTTGTCGGTGAGACTGGTAGCCCCTACGAGCACAGACTATACCGAGAAGGCCCTTGAAGATATGCAGAAAAAGTAAAACTCTCCCTCATAGTTTTTCAGGGCGTGCAGGCAACAGAAACAATTGTGCATGTGCCTGGGAAATCGAAACTTGCCGATCCTTCCGAGAGACTGTCTTTAGTGTACTGGATAAACCGATTTGTTACGCTAATGCGGAGACAGTCGGGGGGAATAACGTCATGAGTCGTCTCATGTTCAACAAGTGAGCGCAGAAGCCCAAGCTTGCTTTGAAGTAGCAGTGTCCGAAGTCCTGAGAAAGGCAACGAGCGTTGGGTATCATATACACTTAAGAATAATTACTGCGGATATAGAAAGCCCGTTTAGCAACTGGCCCGGCAAAGGGCGATAACAGAACGGTATAGCAAGTCGTGAATAAA